AGTGAGCACACCATCATGGTGACTGCTCCAGGGTCACCATGACACTGTGAGTGAGCACACCATCATGGTGGCTGCTCCAGGGTCACCTTGACACCATGAGTGAGCACACCATCATGGTGACTGCTCCAGGGTCACCTTGACACCATGAGTGAGCACACCATCAAGGTCACCAGGAGGGGGAAGTTTCAAGGGTCACTATTTGATCTGCAAACTACCGTGTCTACAGCTGTGCACTAGGGAAATAATTTCCTCTTAGTGTCACTGTAATTGTAAATGCACGCGTTACTGCCTAGCCAAAGACCCGGAGACAGTGAGCAGTCTCTCAGGAAGGCACTTCCTCCTTGTCCTCTCCTCTCTTTGCTTTTAGACTTTGCTTCTCACCCCAGCACTAACAACTGACTTTGATGTAGGCCCTGTCACCGTTCTGTGCTATGCATTCTCTAATCTCTGCCAAGTAAATTGTTCTGTTATAATGATTAAACCACACAGTTTACACTGCTAAGGTAACTGTCTCTGTCTAGGAGTGGCACCTAACATCCTCAGCCCAGGGTGCTCTGGTCTCAATCTAACAAGAAAATTTACACACTGGAAAGGTTACACTTCATGTGTAATATCTTAGTCTCCACTGGTCCCCCACCCAGAATCTGACCCTGTGTGCCATGATCCTGGGGAGACCACTGTTCCTAAACTTCATATGCCAATTTTTCTACTCTCATTGTCTTTTCTGAGACAGGGTTTCTCTGTGTAGCTTTACAGCCTGTCCTGGAACTTGTGCTGTAGCCCAGGCTAGCCTCGAACTCACAGAGATCCGCCTACCTCTGCCTCCTGAGTGCTAGAATTAAAGGCGTGCGCCCCAGCCACCTAGCCAAGTTCCACAGATCTTTAGTTAAAACTTTCCAACAAGATAAGCCAGTGATACTAAGGACAGACATAGATAAAACTCAAAGATGTAACCAAAGGCCTGGGCTCTATAATCTCTAGGTCTGCCTAGCCTCTGCGTTGTGATGGGTGGGGTTTTTGTTAGGGGTGGTTTTCTTCCTCTGTCCATACCCTGCTGGTGTTCCAGGACACAGTCATTGCCCTTTGGACAAAATGGCTCCTTGGAGGATCTTGAGTACACAGGAGAAAGAAACATTTTTGTCAAGGAAGCAGGTTTGCCACCTCGGTTTGCCTTCTCAGACCAGTAGGAGTGTCATTAACAGCACTAAACAGTAAAGGCCCCCAAAGATACTCGTGAGACACAACCAGGCCCAGCTCAACATCATTTATTGATTTAGTCTGTTTTAGAGTCAAGAGGTCAGTCTTTGGGTAGTGGCAAGGAAGGACAGATATCCATGGAGGAAGAAGAGATGCTTTGAATAAAGAATATCTCCAGAGGAACAGGGATTGGAGAAGGTGCAGGAGAATCTGGGACTAGGATGGAGAACAACCCAGGATGCACAAGACTTGGTCTCAGGAATTTTTTTTCTTGACCTGAGGAGGAAAAGATATTGTTAGAGACCCAGGAACCATGAAGTAGGGGGGAGGGGTCAGATTAGGTGGATTCTCCAGTATGATTTTGAAAAGAGCTTCCTGGTTCTCTTCGTCTGCCAAGAGTGCATACATAACCATCTCTTCATTTTTCTCTTCGGTCAGTGTCCCTTATGTTCTTTTTGAGACGACAGGATATATGGGGGGCTGGGTCCTCGTCTGAGATCCCCTTATGTTCCAGGTACAGTAGTCTATACCCTCCCTTCAACGGCATGTCCCATCTTTCCATTCTTACCATGGCCATCAGCACCAGGGCGCTGACGAGCACAGCATACAGGGTGGCCTTCCCTAGTAGGATCTCATAGAGGATGGTAGCAGACAGAACCCCCTGGTGATAGGATGCTGTTGACAGGAGAGGAAAATGGACAGTGCCTGTGAGCAGGTGGTCGTGGTCACCCTCATCCTCTGTGTCTGTAGGTTCTTGGCTTTCCAGAGCCCAGACCGTGGAAGAACTCAGAGAAAGGGAGGAGCCTTACTCACCTGAGGTGATGCCACAGTCTGAAAGAAAAGAGAGGGAGAAAAAAAATGGGTGAGAGAATGTCACTGCTTGGGAATATTGAGCCCTAAACAGCAAAATTTAAAGCTGGACTCGAAGGCCACAAACAAGTACAAGCCAGATGGTATAAGCACCTGCCTCACACTGTCTTTCTTAGGGTGAAGGACAAGTACAAGCCACTATCACTGTAAAAATCTAGGACCAATAATGTGGCTGAGACACAGCACAGAGATGCTGGGCTGCATGGTTGGTGTGAGGGAACCTATCAGGACAGATCAGAGGCACTAAAGGACTGGGGAACCAAAGGGCCTGAGCTGCCCCATTACGTTTAAGTCCTCTGTGGGAGGAAGTAAATGCTATGGTTTTCTAACACCCTGTCCCTGATCATCACTTCCAGCACTCCAGCTTTCCGCTAGGTCAATTCTTTGCTTCTACATGGATCTTTCCATTTTTCTGGGATACTGGTGCTATACAGTCTCCTCACCAACGCCCAAGGACCCACATACCTGCTCGGCCCCGGACCTCTGCACTGACGTTCTGGTCGACAGGCTTGGGCGAGGCCTTGTCCCACTCATCTTCAGCTGTAAGCCCATAGAACTGGACTTGGCAGCGGAAGTGGTTGCGAGGATTGTGCCAGAAGGTTGCAGAGACCCTCAGGCGGCTGCTCAGGCAGTAGGTGATGTTATTGGTCTCCTTGTAGGGCTGAGGGTCTGTGCTGACTCCACTGCGCAGCTCCTTCCCGTTCACCCACCAGCTCAGTTCCACATGGTCAGGGTAGAAGCCCCTGGCCAGGCACACGAGGGTAGCCATTTGTTTGTCGACGATCTCTGCTTCTGATGGCTCAAACAAGGTGACCTTGGGTGGGCTCACCTTGCTCAGGTCCTCTGGAAAGTAAAGAGGGGTGGAATTAGCATTTTGTTGACCACTCTCTGAGTCCAGTAGAGACTGTAAGTATCTGCGATGACTGGGGGCTGAGAGAGTTTCTGAAAAAGCAAGTGTGTTGTAGCAGGCCCCATTTGCTTTGGAATCACTACTCCATTTCTCTTTTTTTTCTTGCCCATTACTTGTATTCATCCAGTATTCCCTGGCCTTCCATTCTCATAAGGGGATACTATAAATGGTCCTGCCCAACACTCTGCACAATGTTCCTTTATTGACATTGTTTTAATCATCTTCCATCAAGTAAAGGTTACTTCTAATTATTATATGTAGCAGTTAAAAGGAGCCTGCCACAGAAATCAGAATTACAGAAACTGAATTTCAAGCAATGACTTTCCATGCCCATGTGACCATGGGAGAGTCACTTGAATGTCTCTGTGTCAGTTTTTCTACACTTGCAAAATGAAATGCACAGCACTGACTTCCAGAACTGACATAAGGATTCAAGATATCCCGCCTTAGCCAGGGTTTCTGTATCTGAAAATAAGGGACAGAGAAATGAAGGATAATTAAAAATGAGATAGCCATTTGGCATAAGGAAGCTTCCCTCAGACCACAGTCTATAGATGGCCTATTTTCATAACCTGGATGTGAAGATACCTTGGTCTACAGTGTGTTCAGGAGGATGTAAGGTTTGCTGAATTTTGTGGTGTGTGAAATAAACCTATCCACTTCTCTGCCTCCAAATACCACCACTTCTTTGCATTTTTCTGGCTGTTCTTTGTTTCCAAGCAATTTGGTGAAAATGCAGAGATAGATACATTTTGTTTCAGCAAACCACAGTCTTCTGGATAAGGGAGAAACTTTCCTCTGCCCCTTTCTTATATTTCTACGGATATCACCTCATTCCAGGGCTCATGTCATTGGCATCCAATCTGCAGAATTCTTATGCAAGATCGCAGGCTTGGTGTGTGGTGTCAAACTGCAGCCATCACTTTGGAATTCTGTTTCTTTTTAGTAGAAGTCTCCACATTTTTCATTACCCCCCCCACACACACACTTTTTTTGACAGCATCTTCCTCTGTGGTCCATAATGGCCTAGAACTCACTATATAGTCCAAGCTGGCTTAGAACTCATTGTGTAGCCCAGGTTGGCCTCACATTCATGGCATTCCACTTGGGTCAGTCTCTCTAGTGTCTAGTGTTGGGATTGTAGGTGTGGGTCACCACACCTCGCCACATTTTTATTTTTGGCTAAGCATGGGAGCATCCTGGCTGCCTCTCCTTCTGCTCAGCCTCTTCCCCTAATGCCTCATTTTCTATTTATTTAGGTCCAATGGACCTCCATGGAAATGGTAATAATCTTACTCCTCTCTGTGGTACTTGACTCATCAATTTTTCTGCTTTTGGTCTGACTAGCCTAACTCTGTCTCATAGATACCGACATTGAGAGTCTCCCAGCTTTCTATGGGAACTGACCATGTTGCTCAGTACTCATCTAGTTCCTGTTGCAAAAGCCAAAGACTTGCCTGAGTCAGGCATTCTGTTCTCTATTAATCAACACCATAGTCAGGACAAATAGAAGCAGCTACTCACTATACCCTAAGGATTACTCGTACCACTCCACAGGGAGACTGGGGGTAGCTGTACATCCATGTGTGTGAGTCCCTGAGGATTCCTGGAAGGTAGAATTGCCTGTGAAAGTGAATTGTGTTTTAGTAAGCTACTGTTAGTATGTGATTTGTTTGTGAACTGGACTTGTGGTGGGAAAAATTATAAGATTCCTTTTCCTCCTCAAACCACCTCCACATCTGTTTCCACAGAAGAGGGTCACACATTAACTTACCTAAGCTTACCTTATCACCAAAGAGCCACGACTGAATTTAGCCTCATCTGGTTATAATGTCTGGCTATTTTCTCTATCCCACCTGACCACAGGAAACCAGCATTTCCTTTAGGCACACTTTCACATGGCTGAGTGCCCTTGGATTCACCTTAGTGTTCTAACTACAAATGGTGTCCACTGTTGTTGTAGTTATCAAATAATACAGGTTCACATTCCCAGCCTGTGAGTTATTTCTCTTCTATAACCTTGGCCCACTGCCAAGTGATAGTTAAAGTCTATTCTAGTATCGGAATCCTAAGGTTGTTCAAGCCTTTTTCTTCATCTCCCAGGCTAAATATTTGATTTTCATGTGTGCTTATGATCAACAAACTTCCTTCATGATCTGGTCTGTCTAGCCTGGAATACATGGTGTGAACAATGAAGATTTTGAGTTAGGATTCAGGGGAATAACCTGAGGATGTATAGACCCCAGTGAATAAGATCTCCCTCACTTGGGGCTGACTAGCCATGAGAAGGTGTAGAAGCATGTCCCTAGGCTCCCATCCCTGCTTCAAGGGATTCCAAACTTAGAAGGGAAACAGTGGATGGAGTTTAAAAATCAATAATATGTCAACACCACCAGACTTTTGATTCTTCTGTTCTGGCTAATGTTTACCTGTCTGTCCTTGGTTTCTTGCCTGGCACATTCTCCTCCTTTGAAAAGACCCTCGTTTGAACAACTTTTGCCAATGAGACCATCCTAGAAGTCAGCAGCAGCACCCTTGGGATCCCTCTGCCTCTGTATCTGCCCCTTTCTCTCCTGTTACTTTGCTCTCCTGTTACTTATTTTCAAAAACAAGTTTGTTCCGGAGTCCTGATAAATCCTTTTCTCCACCGCCCACCCAGTGCGTGCAAACCTCAGAGAAAAGAGAATTAAACCGACTCTGTCCTGGCTTGCGAGAGCAATGCTTGGCACCCAATACCCTCCCTCACGCAGCCCTCCCAGAAGCGGTGAAGTTGGAAGCTGTATCCTATTGCAGACTCGGCAAAGGAGCCCTAACCCCGATCTAACCCAAACTCCCCCGGGGACCCAGGAACTACGGATGAGAGCGCGCGCGAGATGCCCGAATCTTACCTAAAACCGTGAGCTTGGTGCCGGGACCGAAATACTGCTCATAGGAACACAGAGGCACAACCCTGCACTCAAACCCGCGCAATGCAGTGCAGCGAGCTAGTCCCCAGTTTCGTGACAATCTCCTTGCTACTCAGCTTTGCACAGGGCCTGGGAACCCGGTGCAAAGACGCCAGCAGCCCCGAGGCTCGCCGCCGCTGCAGTTGCCGAGAAGCTCACCTAGCATGATCAACTGGCTGCCAGTCCCGAAAACAAGGTCTGCGAAGCACAACCCGGGGACTCCCCACAGAAACCCGGCCAAGGCACTCGCGCCCACTGCAGCCCCAGCCCGCCGCCACCGTGCTTGGGACCCCCAGCTCACCTAACACGAGGAGCCGCGTGCCTGGCCCAAAGTACTGGGTCTCTTGGTTCACGGCACCAGAGCCCAGCACAAAAACACCCCAACTCACCTAACACTGACAGTCGGGTGCCTGCACCGAAGTACTGGGTGTTTTGGCTCACAGCCCCTTGCTACAGCACAAAAACTGGCCCTGGCCATCCTTACTTGGGAATCTCCGTAAGGAGATGTCACCCCACTCCCCTAGCTCCCAACTTACCCAGCACGGTCAGTCTGGTTCCTGGGCCAAAATACAGCGTGTCTGTGCTCACAGCCTCCAGGCTCAGGACAAAAACTCAGTGTTGCCCACCCCTGCTATCCCAACCCTGGCTCAGATCCCCATCAACCATGAGTGCTCTCTTGATGCCAGCATCCAGTCCAGAAATCCCTCCGCCTGGACAGGTCAGCTCAGATTGAGAGGAAGCTGAATAGCTGCCCTACTCGGCCCCTCTTACCCCCATGGTAGCCCTCCAGCTGCCCTGCTTACCCAACACTGTCAGCTTGGAGCCTTCCCCAAAGTACAGCTGCCCGGTGTTTGCACAGTTCGGGGGTTGCTGGCACAAACCCCGTCGTCTTCCCTGACACGGGGCCTTGGATGGCTAAGCGCTTTCTGGCTCCAGGGGTCTCCCTGGCTGTTTATGCTACCTTCTCTCCCACCTGTGCGGCTGCTGCCTTCTTACCTAGCACCGTGAGTCGAGTCCCTGGTCCGAAGAACTGTTCAGCATAGGAACACAGCAGAAAAGGGCTGCCAAGAACTCTTCCTCCTTCCTCACCTTCCTCAGCGTAGACCCAGGGTTAGCCGCTTTCTCCATCTAACTCCAGAACTGACACGGCAATCTGGACATTGCACGAGGCCAACCTCAATTTGAAGAGGAGACGCAACATTCGGCTTGGGAATCAATATCCACCTAATTCCCTCGGGGGTTGACTCAGTGAACTTGAAATCTGAAGGCTTCCTGGTGGGGTTGGATAGCCTCTGATGAGAAAAAAGACTTGTAATACCTTTCCCACAACGTGTTTGTTTATTTACTTAATATTTTTAATGAATTCTTAATTTACCAGGCGTGTACAGATACTTTGCCAAGGGTAAGCCTTATAAAAGGGGCTGAATGGTGAACCTACTTCCCTGGACTGGCTTTCACATTCATGGGAAGCTGTCTAGGGCAAGGAAATTCATAGCTAACTGTAAGACCTTGTGGGACCACTCACATAGACCCCCTCCTCACATGGCAAATACATTCCTGGGGCTGAGAGTTAACGTTTTCAGGGGTAGAGCTTTTTGTAAAAGCACCTCCTCTATTTGAAACATTGTGCCCCCCCCAGTCCCCACAATGTTATACCATGATACAAAAAAGTTTCTCCCCACAGGTGCCCTCCCCCAGTCCCCCGGCAAGAGCAGGAAGCCCAGGTGGCAGAGAGGTTAGCCTGACTGAGAGGGGCTGGGGAAAGACTAAAGCTGGGTAAATTTAAAGAAAGGAGGAGCTTGGAGAAGATCTTGGTACTAATGGTGGTGGTGCTGATGGGGGCAGGGAGCCCCTGTTCTGAACATGCGCTCACCCTGGGAGACCATCTATGTCACTGGGTCTCTCCCCTCTTTGACTCACAGTGCCCACCTCCTCAGGCTACCTTTATAGTGAGGTGGGTGGGAGGAGGGAGGCAGAAGGGCCCCCCTCACAGGAGAAACTCCAGAGCGGTTGATGCAACGTAGAACACAGAGACAAAGAGCTCAGAAACTGACATCATTCCTACTGCTTCCCAGACACAGTTCAGCTTCCTCCCTCCCTTCCTCCACAAATACTTAGCGGGTACCTGTATGCGTTAGGTTATACGCTGTTCGCTGTTCACAAGGGAATGAGCCCGCTCTCAGAGGGGCATGTGCTGGTATCATTTCTCAGCCTTGATTTTGATTATTTCTGTCTCTGACCCTTGCACCCTGGTAAATGGCTAACCTCCGAAGCATCCAGACACATAGTGTGTGCTTTTTCTCCTGCTCTCGGGTAAGCATGGCCACTCATGCACAGATGAGAGCACTTTTGAAGATTCTGCCCCTTCTTGTGCCCTTGTCTGATTAGCTAGCTGCTGAGTGCAGTTTGGTGGACAGTATACAGAAACTTCAAAGCACTGGCTTTTATTTCTGCTCTTTTTCTTCATGGCTTAGTCCCTTTATGGACAGGTGGGCTTCTTGAGGACTGTGGTTTAGTTTCCTCTGTTCTGTGGGTGGTCAGAAGTAATACATTACAGTTGTATGTGTTTAGTGAGTGGGTACTGTGAATGTACATGTAAATGTGTGTCTCTGTGTAGCTATATGTGCATGTTTGCATAGATTAAACTCTGAATCATATGCAATAGAGAAGGAACGGCTGTGTGGAAGTGTAGATGGATGTTTTGGGAGGACTCCACAGAGAAGACTGTATCTAAAATAGAATCACTTTTATTTCCCTCATTATTCACACGTTTATTAGAAAATTACTACCAAGTGTCTATCCCGAACCCAAATACCATGAAGTATTGCAGGGTACTATAAAAAAAATACTCTGGTTATGGAAGAACCAGCAGTTACATAGGGGGAGGGGGGCTCACATAAGAAACAGTAAGTGTCATGAAGGAGGTCTTCACAAGGGGCCAGATGGTAAAATACAGGGTATAATTGATCTAGTCTTAGGGAGTTCAAAGTAAGGACTGGGCAACAGAATGCTAGAGAAGGTTCCAGGAAGACACTTAAAGCCACATAGGGTTACTGGGGGGAAGAAGGGGCTCCACGTTGCTCCAGATGGAACAGACAGAAGAACATGCAGAATGGCCTGAAAGGGATGAGAGGAGTGGGGAATGTGGGGTTATGAGGTAAAATGAATCATCAGCTCTTTATGCCATTCTCAGGATGGTAGCTACCCCACCACGGTGACATGACTACCCCACCACGGTGACATGACTACCCCACCATGACATGACTACCTCACCATGGTGACATGACTACCTCACCATGACATGACTACCCCACCATGACATGACTACCCCACCATGGTGACATGACTACCCCACCATGGTGACATGCCTACCCCACCATGACATGACTACCCCACCA